AAAAAAAAAAAAAAAGAAAGAAAGAAAAATAAAGGGGAGGGGGGGAAGGAGTTGGGGCTTTTTAGAGAAGGAGAGAATTAAGGGAAAAACTTGGTGAGACCTCATCCTAAGAGATTGCATTTATTATTAATAAGGCATTTAAAATGAGGAGTGACTCTGTTGGCCAGAGCCCAATAGGTAAGATTTAAGGCAAAACAAGAAGTGAAACTCAAGCAGAGGAGGTTGAGGGTGCTCTGTGGTGGATCAGGAGATCTAAACTGCAGGATGGAGACAATACAACTTAAAAATGCTGTGTGCTTGCAGCTAATACCGGCTAGCTGCAGTATTAGGAGACCTACAAATTGCCAAAAAAGCGCATATTGCAAATACTTGCTTTTATAAGCCCACTCCTGTCCACAAGCCTGTGGTTAAGGAGCTCTCAGCCTGTAGCTACTGGGTTGATTTACTGTATGCTCTCTTTATGGAGGAGGTGGGTTATGTTGCAAGCAGTAAAGTTCATATCCTTGGCTTGGAGTTTGTAGTTACATTCCAAGTGGAAATACTTCACCGACAGAGCCATAGATAGGGATGGAGAGCGAAGAGGAGACTTCTTTTGCTGTGGCTGAAAACACTAGGTTTTAAAAGGGAAACTAGTACTAGATTCCAGCACTAATTATCCAAGAATGACTTTAAGACTTTGGGGTGTCCCTTTTGTGCCCTCAAAAACAAGTGTAGGAATATAATTTAAGGCTAAAGAATTAAGAACTTCTTAAGAACTGTAGAGTTAAGGAGTAACTTGCATCCTATGCACAAACTTGCTATGTTTCCTCTTGTAACTGCAAGTTGGATAGTCCCTTTCTGGGTACCCAAACGCAGAGGGACTGCAACTGTCTTTATACCTGTGTCTTTAAAAATTTGAAGATGTAATTTGGAAAGGAAATATTACAGAACAACTTTGTGTAGTAAGATTTAAGTGAAAAAATAATTGCATTGTTACAGGAGAGGAAATTACTTGGTTTATGCCTAGTGAAATACAGGAAACTTTGCTGTAGTTATCTGGAAAGAGAGCGGTGTTGAAGTACATCTGTTAACTGTCTTTAACTCATAAAATGTCACATTAATTTATTGGTTAAGTGCTGCTGTGGTTGTTTTAAAAACAAATCTGGGTTATAAATTGTTATCTGTATCAAAGTTTGAATGTATTGCTTGAATCTGAGGGGCCAGAAATAGTTTAGTTAAGCTTCATAGAAATAACTTAAAGCAGATCAAGTCTTTATGCTATGAGCTAAAGTAAAGTGGAAGAGTAATTAACATTTCTGCTTTGGTCATTAAGGTACAGCTCCATCATATATGTTTTATTAAAAACTTTGCTTTCAGATTTAGGTTTTCAATTTCAAGTCCCTATTGCGCAACTTATTTTCTTCTTTTGCTAAAGGCTTTAATTGTTACATTTCAGTTCAAGCTGGTATTTCTGTATTTTTCTCTTTCAGGCTTTCTCTCTGGGTGCCTTACGTTTTTTACCTCTTTATTAATATTAATCTAGTAAAAGACATATAATTAATCTAGTTCTACATATCAAAGAAAGAAATTCCTGAAATTGCATCAGTCTTGCAATTCTTCCTGAATTCAGCTATATGCCAGACTTCTCCACTTAATTTTCAGTATTTAGAATTACTTGCCAAACGAAGAAGATAAAATGCTGTAAATGTTTTCTCTCAAACTTTTAATCTAAGTGCAAACAAGATAGATAAATATTTTTTCAAGGAGACTCCCCTCTTCAGCTTCCCAGTATATTGTGAGCTAGTTGTAAGCTTTCTGAGCAGCAGTTATCTTATCTTGGTATTTTCTGTGAACACAAATCATCTTGCTTGCTCTGAAAGGAAAGGCAAGGAGGCTCTAATATTTGTTAATCACGTTGTTGACAGTAGGCAGCCAAGCTGCCTGTATGGTTGTCAGTGCAAAAAGGCAATATAGCGTTGCTGAAACCAAGCTGCTCAAGAGGAGGGGGATCCTGAGTATTTACCATCTTTATGGCAAGGTCACAGTAGAAGATGCTGTAGACTTTGCCACTAAAATTTGAAAGCAGCATTTGCTAGAGATTCTGCATGGTGCTATGAAGATTTTTGGTGAAAGCTCCCTGCAGAGCCAGATGACTGATAAAACTGTCCATAGTGAGATACGGTACTTAGCGCCTGGAATTTAAAAAATGAAAGAATTAGCCACAGGAAGAAAACAGTTCCCTATTGTGCAATTCCTGTCATCGTAGAGGTTTCATCGGATTTATTCCTTCTGTAAAGCTCTTCGGGACTGAAGACACCAGCACCAAAATCGTTTCGGTTGAGAGATCTGAATCCTCACTTCTTGAGAAGCCCTACTGTCTCTCTTTGCCTTTAATGAGATTTTTCAAGAAGCATCACTCCAGATGATGCACAGTATTTGCAATTGCATAATCAGCATGGGTCTTGGCAGCCCCTGCATTCAAATTTCTCATTATTGGATGTCTACCTTTATCTTGTATACTTTTTTTTCCTTTCAGCATTTCATTTGAACTGCTTCCGTGTTAACTTTTGTTTCTTCAGGTGTTAGGATTACAGGAGCGTGTTGGGGTTTTTTCCCTTTCCTTTTACCTTAAACACCATTTGACCTAAATAGTCGTTATCATTCCAGGTTTATGTATTGAAACGACCACATGTGGATGAGTTTCTTCAGAGGATGGGAGAGCTCTTTGAATGTGTACTCTTCACAGCCAGTCTAGCCAAGGTTTGTTCCTCTCTTCATCTCATTAGCCCTTACTGTGCTGGTCAGTGGACTTTTGGTTGGGTTTTCTATGGATAATTATTTCCACAGTTGGTACTGTCTTAATTTTTCCCCTTCTTTTCTGCTTCTTTGTCTGACAGTGTGTACTTTGTCTGCTAGTGTGTGGGTAAGTGTTTCCATGGTAACACCATCACATATGGGCTTGTCTCATAATGTAGCCTCCATGCATTGCTCATAATGCCAATATGAAAGGCTTACGAGTTACCATGGTTATAGTGAGAAATTAGAACAAATAGCGTGTGAGTAAAGCAGTATATTAAAGCTGGGCATGAAATAAAATACACTGTATTTAACGCTATCTACGTGATCAACCAGTGATTCAGAAATTTACTGCATCTGAAAATTGGAAACACATTTTTGCAATTGCACCTTGACAGAACAATCTGGAGTTAGAAAATTAGACATTTTGTAAAGCTTGAAACATCAACAGGAATATTTTGTGCCCTCTGGTCTCCAGTAGCAGTAGTAGCTCATAGGTAGTTTTGTGGTAGACATTACAGTAGTAGACATCTTAAATTCTTCACTTCTTTGTGTATTGTATTTGTGCTCTCTTTTTTGTAAAATTATATTGATTATTTCTAAATAATACTCTAGCATAGTAAGCTTTTACTCCAACCTAGTGCAGAGATGGTGGTAGGGGACAGGACCCTGTCTGATCTGCTGTAGTGCCTTCTTACCAGAGCATTCTTCCCTGCGCTCTGTTTACCATGTTCTGTTCAGTCACATCATGAAAATCCTAAATAATGGAACAATTTCATACTGCAGTTAGATGTCTAGCAGTTTTCTTAGTCAAAAGATGATTGATTTCAACATCAGTTTTGTTTCTCAGTTTAAAATATAGGAAAATGGTAACTCCTATCCTGCAAAAATACGTTATAACTACCATTTTCAAGTACATGGTTATTTCATGTTCTGGTTTATTTGGATACTTTTCCTTGGACAGTTTATATCAATTGTTGGATTCTAAGCTGTGCCTCACTTAAAAGTATCATCTTATATATAAAATGAGAATTTCCCAGTATTGTACATAGGTATTTTTCCCAGTAACATCTTTGTCTGATCTTTTATGGCCCAATTATGCAATTTGGTAATCTTAAGATTCTTACTGACCCAGCTGCTCCAAGGGCATCATTTGAAAAAGCTCCATCAAGCTGAGATGCGTTCAGTGCAGTTTATCTTCCGAGGCACATGGAAATGAATCGGCTGTGGAAATGGCTTCATATAGATTTTCTGTTAGCATTGGCTGGTTTTATGATAATGGTAGGTGAGATCACTGGGTCCATCAACTTCTAGGTAACTCCTAGGGTAACTATAAGCTGGCCCTAAGAATAAAACCTAATCAATAAATCACAGAAAACGTTAGAGTGCAAGTTAGCCTTCCGTAGAACGATAACCGTCCTACTTTTGCGTTATCTCTTTATTAATCACTTCAGGTTTGCAGGCATGTAAGTTAATTAACAAGGAGCAGGGAAGAAAATGAAGAAAGGGCATTTCATCTGAAATTATTTTGTGTCCCTTCTTTGTATAGTTCTGTGAATTAGCCTTATCTGCACGCTGCTAACTTCATGTTTCTAACTTCTGTTTTTAAGTATGCAGACCCAGTAGCTGACTTGCTGGATCGCTGGGGTGTGTTCAGGGCAAGGCTCTTTAGAGAATCCTGTGTTTTCCACCGAGGAAATTACGTGAAGGATCTGAGTCGACTGGGACGTGAGCTGAGTAAAGTTATTATAGTAGATAATTCTCCTGCATCTTACATCTTCCATCCTGAAAATGCAGTAAGTTTTCTTAGTATTTGAAGTACTCAAGCGTAACTTTATCTTTCTGGTCCTTGCCCAGACTTTCCGATTCAGAAAATAGCCTTTCAGAACGCTAAGTTGTATTAGTTTCTGTATTTTCTTAGACTGCAGGTAGGTTCTAGTACTCACTGCCAAATAGTGAAGGACTAGGGCAAACTGATCCTGACAGTGTGTCATAGTCATGACTGTTCATCTGCTTTCAGTTTTAGCTTTTGGCATGAAGTCCATCAGTTTTGAGAAATACCAGGCGGTGTAGAACCTGAGTAACTAACCTAGCTCTAAAAAGAGAAGCTGCCCTCCAGCATAGTTTTTGTTCATTGGAGTGGTGATTACAGAAAGGATGGTTTACTTGAACGGCTTTTGGTACTGCCATCTTTTTTCATTGTGCGAATGAAAATATTTTACTAGACAAGATAACTAATGCTTTACTCGTTACTATCAGAGTTCTGTATTCGTGGCTAAGGGGAAGAAAAAAGTCAAGATCCTGTTGTGTTGTTACGCTTCTCCTTTTAAGTATTTTTGTGAAAACTCGCTTCGTAATTAGAAATGTTAGTCAACAAGTTCATCAAGTTTTAGGAATAAGGATAAAAAGCAGGCAACAGTACTTGAAGGGAGAATAATTAGAAGCAATGCGTGTTTTCACTGTATGTTTCGTATCGGCTCCAGAAAATACGATGGAATGGTCTGGCACTTGCTCCATCCATTGCTGCAATCGGTACAGATGCTCACATCTGTTTTGTAGCTGCCAGGATAGCAAGCTGCAACTTGCCTTAGATCTACTGACTTTTAAACAACCAGGCTGTGCAATGTTTTCTTTGATGTTTTTAGGCTGCCTTTTTTTGTGAACTGTTAAAATTAACGTAGGAAATTTTTATCAGGAACACTGTTTTGCATGGTCCTGCCTCTCCAGAATACCTTTTTTTTTTATGTGAGCTATTTATCTTGCAGCAATCAGCTTTTAAATTCAGATCCTAACACTGTGATGCCCTAAATGATTGGGTGAAAACATTTTTCTGGTTGGTGCCATACATGGTTTAAAGTTGCTATTTATAATAACCAGGAGCTGTAGCTCTAATTTATGTTCATGGTTAAAATTAAAAACCTGATCCAGATCGTCATTTGGTATCTCGGAATTCAGTGCCAAGAAAATAATGAGCTGTAGAAATTTGGGAGATGAAATTAAGGGCCTTGTCAGAGTGGTTTAATCATGTATAGAAAAGTGCTGTTAGCTAACTGATATTCGAGTCTCTGCAGAAACCAGAGCTTGTAACAAGATCCAAGATAGTCTTTAAAAGACCTCTGTATACTTCCATAGTGAAGATACACAGACTTCCTTCCCCAAATCCAGCCCACATACTTAAGAAGTGTTATTATATGCATTATTTTCTGAACCCGCTCTCAAGGTCTTATATTTTAATCAGAGAACTGTTCTATACTCGCTGTTTAAATATTTCCTCCACAGCCTCATGCCAGAAGGGGTTGTTGCTGCATGCCTATGTTTAGTGACTCACACTGATAATACTTAGAGGGGAAAAAAAGACTTGCTTGTAAATGAAGTGTCAGTACAGCTTCATAACCTGCATCTTCCTTCCAGTCTATTGTGAATATCAAGGAGGCGGAGCAAATTGAGCTGCCCAGTGTTGGGTCATGTAGGTTACCTGGACATGTAGGAGAAGGTCAGCTGCATGTCAGCTGTTTTACAGTTGGATTTGGGGTTGATGTTGCATACTAGAAAATGTGGACTTGAACCTGGTACTCCGCTTGAATGCTAATGACTAGCAATTTGCCTTACTGTGGTGGCAGTGAGTATTACAGGACATCTACACAGGCAAAACTCACATGTTCTTCACATCATAAAGTCATCTTAATATTTATTGGTTGCTTTGTTTCAGGTGCCTGTGCAGTCCTGGTTTGATGACATGACAGACACAGAGCTGCTAGATCTTATTCCTTTCTTTGAAGGACTAAGCAAAGAGGAAGAAGTTTACAGTATGCTTCATAAACTCTGCAACAGGTAGCCCTTAACTTTGACTGACTTCTGCTGCTAGATTGCAGTTGCTAGAGGCTGTCTCCATCTTTTTCAGCTCTTTCAAATGTAAGCTTTGGGGAGGTCACCCCTGTCAGAAGTGCTACTCTTGATCTTCCTGTTACATTGGACACGGACAATCATGAGTGATGCTATTAAGCCTTCAGAAGCCTGACTCCTAAGGTCATGTGTTCAGACTACTTGACTGACTTCTGCTGCTAGATTGCAGTTGCTAGAGGCTGTCTCCATCTTTTTCAGCTCTTTCAAATGTAAGCTTTGGGGAGGTCACCCCTGTCAGAAGTGCTACTCTTGATCTTCCTGTTACATTGGACACGGACAATCATGAGTGATGCTATTAAGCCTTCAGAAGCCTGACTCCTAAGGTCATGTGTTCAGACTTCTTTTTAAAAGGAAAAAAAAAAAAAAAGAAGCTATTTTAAATGGAACTCTTTTAATGAATTTCATAAATGGACATCTTTTACTGGATCAGCTTTTCTTAAAACATGCCAAAAAAGAAGCTTGTATTTCAGCAGTTGAATTTCTCTCCCTTTCTTCCCCTCCCACTATGCAGACAATTCTACCCCCCTGCTTAGAGCAGTTGACCTGACTCTGAATTTTTTCTTACAGAATGAAGTGCCTTTTTGAATGTTATTTTAAGATAAAAATTCATTTTTGTATAAGACGTATTTCCAGACATCTTTTAGTCTTGTATTGTCTAAATGCTTTAAAAGGAAAAAGGAAAAATTTTATAGAGCACTGTAATATATAACAAAGGAAAAAGTTGAAACAAAGATGCTGGGTTCCTGTCTCCACAATGACATTAAGTTGTATTACATTTTGTCATGCTCAGAAGGTTTAAGCATTTGTGGGAGGGGTGATTTGGGTTAATTACATGGTTGTTTCACCGATATGATTTTGGGCACAGTTTTGAACATATCTGCAGTTGTTTGAGTATTAGGGAATGATGGAATTGAGAAAATAAGGTGGCTAATAGATCTAAAGCACCTTTTCTTCTAGACAGATGAAGTTCTATTGTCTCTGCTTACGCACAACTGCCATGCCTCTCATTTTTTGGAAAACCATTATCTTGGGAGAATGGGGAGGAGGTCTATTTATTAGTTTAAGATTCTTTTCTTAAAAAAACCCATCTGGGTAAGCTGGATCTGCGTTGAGCTGTTTGGAGTACTTTTTTCTTTTAATTGCTGCTACTGTATACTCACCAAATGGAGTTGACCATCGGCTGTTACACTGTTTTTGCCACTGTGCCTGTGCTATGAAACATTTTCTGTAAGCTGCAAACTTGGGCAATAAGTAAAATGCAGGCTTCATAACCCACCCCTATGTATTAGTCCTACGGTATCTGATATACCAGAGAACTCAGTTAAAGGTGACCTGCAAAGGATTTTTTTTTAAATACTTTTTTTTTTTTTTCCAATTGGGATGAAGCCCTCTCCTTTCTTTGGTATGTAAAAATGCAAAAAGTATTTTTCCCACATCTCTGATTTGTATTTCTTCCTCAAGGTGTAAGGTACAGATGGGGAGCTTTACTGAGTCTTGCTAGAAGGGCAGAAGTTACTAGCCCAGACTAAAAGTGGTCCTTTAGCTTTGGAGTTGAGTAAGTCTCATCTCTGAATCTGAGAACCTGCTTAGCATCTTCTGTAGTGTCATGGGTACCCTTTCAAAAGAATAACTTTTAAATAGTTTAAGCCTTGGAAGAACAAGGCACACCAATTTTTTTTTTTTTTTTTTTTCCTTTCCAGTGTCACCTTTCAATTATTTTTCCGGACCAGAAATCTACAAGCATAAAAATTACAGCTATGTTTGGCTGTCATCAGAGAAAACTAAATGAAGTAGTTGGTGCTTCTAAGTAGCCTTGTGTTAAATTCTGAATAGTAGACCCCCTTTGCCTTTTCTGTTTTTCTTGAAAAGTCTTGACAACTTGGAAAAAAATTTTTGCGACGGACTGGGATTGTCATCCTTGTCTAAAACATTGGTGAAGCAGCTTAACAAGTTCATTCATAGAAGGACAGGCCAGCCTACACAGGCAGTGAGTAGATTGTCGTAGGTGCAGTATAAAACTGAAAGATGACTTGCCCCCTTGCAGGGCAGCTGTGCACCAGCTGCTCGCTGTGTCTCGTAGCGAGGGATGTTGGAGGCGGTCCCGTGACACTCGTGAGTCTGTACGGCATCACCGTTTTGTTTTCTTACCAGTTGGCATTACCTTAGTACTGTATAATTCTGTGCCACAACAAAAGACAAAACTGTCAAATTTTAAAACCTACGTTGTTTAAAAAATGGGAAGAAAAAAAAAAAGGACGTATGGATTCTGGTTAGTCCATTAACGTTTACTTTCAGTTTAAGATTGTTTAATTTTGTATTTGACTTCAGAATAATGAAACTAAGCTGCCAAAAAGTTGTTCTCTGAGCAGTATTTTCAACTGTGTTTGTAGCTTCTAGGCTTCAAATACATATTGCAGGGAAGTATTCAGGTTGTAGTTAGTTGTGCAGGTATGATAGGAATGGCTGAAAAAATTCAAAGACTTTCTCGCTAGCATTAGACCAAACAATCTTCCAATGAGACAATAAATACCCCCCCCCCCGAGACATTACCATTTAACGGTTGTGGACTGTTGCACGTGAGACGAACCATGTCATTAGTTTGCATTTATGAAAGCAGCGATTTCATGAACCAGTTGCCTTAAGTCTGTGAATGAATGTTGATTATTAAAGTGTCTTGTATTGTTTTAAAATCCACATATAATGGACAACTGAACTTCTGCACCAGCTTCTGGAAGAAAGGTTCTGATGATGTTCTGTACAACCGTACTTGTTCTGTATTTTTTATTTTGGCTCCTGAAATCCACAAATTTTTAAAAAAACCCAACCTTATTTTAACTTAGTACAGCATTAAAATGACACTTGGTGACAATACAAAGGCGAAAAACTTGGCAACAGTTTTGATCTCTGCTAGTATCTTAAGAGTATTTTCTATAACTTCTGACGATTTTTTTTTCTTTAACTCATTCCCATTGAAATAAAACTTGGAGTGCTCTGCAGTCAGGTTTGGACTTCCCTGGGTATTCAAATTTGGCCAAAGGGATCAAACTGTCATAGTTGTTTATTTTGACACTATCGTTGTACTTGAAATGTCAAGTGTTAAGTTTGCGTGAATATACATACGCTATATATTTAGAGTTTCTAGATTTTAACAAAGCAATATAGTTCTGTCCATAAAGTCAGATAATGAGCGGAATGTTTGTAAAATTTGCAATACGGGTATCTGATTATATTTTAAATACAAGATTTTAAAAATTAAAATAGGAAAAAATACTTGTTTCCTAAATCTTTTGCATATTTTGAAGTGCAGTTAATGCATGCAGGTCACCAGGGCTGTTATAAACCCTGGTTTTCATTTCTCTTTCTGGATATTATAGAAGTATTAAGAAGTCTTTTCCAGTTGGTCATTCTGTTCAGCTAAAGAAATGCTGCCTGGCCTGAAGTTCTGTTGTCCTTTTATGTTGGGTTAAAAAAGGTTTTTTGCCTGTATAGGTATTTTAAATTAAGCTGTAAGGCAGGATGCCTTAGATTCTTGAAATTCAATTGAAGTGTTACGATTAAATTGCCATTTGTAAACTAGGGCTGTGCGCAGAATACTTGTTAACCACCAGGAAGCGTGGCAGGTTTTGAATGGAAGATCGTAGCAAATGTACAATATTGCTGTGTTCATTTAGGTAGCTTTGGAAGAATAATTTGTCTTATTTGTTTTGCCCTTTAATCTTTTTTTAAACAGCAAAGTTATACATGGAAGAAACTCGACACCTGAAGAGATTTGGTTATCAGTGTATGCAATCACTTTTTCACAGCATGATTTTGATTAGACTGGTTGGGGACAATAAAGTATCTAAATGACACTGGTGTGTACTGATGTTGCAGCTTTTGAAATTTCAGTGTAAAAAAAAAAAAAATCTGTAGCTATATAATTTACAAACACATAATCCTATGTTTTACAGATTCTTTTTAAACTAATAAAACACAGTACCGCACAGCCCTATTTGTAAAACAAAAACAAGTTTGTGCCTCTGATTTCCAAGGTGCTGTGATGTTACGCCTTTGTGGGGCGAGGAGGGCAGGTGAGACTTTGCGTGGGGCAGTTGCTTAAAAATCTCTGGGCTAACTATGCAAAACCAGCTGTCAGTTTCCTGTTTCACATTATATTGTAAAAATCCAGCTGACTTTTTTTCTTTCTTGTTAAAGATCTGTTGGGAACTTCTTAACAGGAGTAAGCAATGGAAATGTTTCTTTCTTTTTTCTTCTTTTTTTTTTTTTTTCTAATAATGGAGCTGTTTACACTTTAATGCAATGAACAATCCAGCGATACTTGAGAAACACTACAGATACCATATGAGTGTTTTCAGGAGAGAGAAGTGTTGTCAATCAGGTATTGAATGGTTTCTTTACTGTCACAAATAAAAAATTTTAACAATATAGTTACTTGTGCATGTAATACTTCTCTGGGAAAAAGAATTTCCGCACTTCTCCTTCAGTAATAGTCACTGCCCTAATTTGACAGGGACTTTATTCCTGCTAATGCACATCCGTGTTAGATAGTAAAATCACTCATCTCTGCACTCTCCTCCCCCTCTCCTCTTTTTAGGTCATGTATAGGACTCCTTATTGACCGCCCTGGCACCTGCTTGTGCAAACAGAGCTGATGAACTACTGATGAACTCTGCTAAATAAATTGGTGGTGACTCTGGCAGATGTTCCAGCTATTTAGATCTCTTGGATGAGATCATACAATAATTTGTTCAAGTCTCAAAGCTGTGTGACTTCTTTTGAAGGGCTTACTTCAGCTACTTGAATAGCTGTTCTTAAAATCACTGCCATATCCAAATAAATATCTGAATAAAACACTTTATTTGCTTGGAAAGTCTATTTTGGGACTTTTTATCTGACACAGTAAGACTTAGGCAGAGCCTTCCTTTCTAGGAAAAGGCACATATTGTTAATGCTTTACGAGCAGAAAACCTCAGGCCTGTTAGAATAAGCAGCTGGCTCAAGATAGCACATTAGTTGCAATTAAAAATATTTTTTAGTTATTCCTATGATCAGTTGGAATGACCTAGACTGCTTTTACTTTGTACTGGTGGGTTGAGTTTTTTGATTTTTTTTTTTTCCCCCCCCGTGGGGTGTAGTTTTTTGGTTGGTTTGTTTTTTTGTTTTTTTGGGTTTTTTTTAGTTTTACCAATCTCCTTAGCTGCTACTTAGGATAAAGATGCCTTTCATTCAGTAAAACAAGTATTTCAGAATTCATAAAACAGATCATTTACAGCGGTGAGAAAGATACTGTTGTTCTATCCTAGCTGATTGAAAGTAAGTGTTTGAAAACTGAATACACCATAGTTTATATACATATATGCTTTCCAATATTTTTTTTTCCCCTTTTTATTGTGTTCTGACTCAGAAGGAAAGCCAACCGCTCTGAAATTCCATGCAAGATGGGATAGGGCTCTTCCAGGTGGGCTGCAGCTCCAGGGGATCCTGCAATCTCCAGCAGTTTTCCTGGCAAGCAACCTTCGCCATCCAGACTTCCTACCAACCCAGCTATGCTGGCAGGAGACCAGGCAAAGTTCTCCTGGACTCCTCTGTTGGTTCTGCTGGAGCTACTGGAAAAATAAATGATCTTTGGGTAATACATTCGTTTTGACAGGTTGGCAAACTCAAACTTGAAAAGCTTCCAGGCGTGTTTTGTTTAAAGCCTTCTCAAGTGCTGTTTCGAAGGGAGCTGTGCTGAGGAGCAGCTTGTCCTGTAATTGCGTAATGCCACATTAATCAGCACTTCTGAAGCACAGGACGTGCACTAACATCTTGGACTTAATAGAGAGTAGGTCTGCATCTGCAATTACACACCTTCCCAAACAGCGATTTAGAAAGGTTAGATTTGGTCATCGCTTAAATCGGCAACAAACTGCATTTTTGAGGTGATGGCTGTGTCAGCTTAGCTGTATCCCCTGGACCTTGGCGCACCCTGTGCTGCAATCGTACCTCCCACCGCTCTTCTCTGTGCGACTGGCATCGTTTAATTTTGCAACCGCCTTTTAATTTAGTGATGTAGGCACATTTAATCAGGAAGTAAATTGCAGGAAAATGCTGGACAAAGAAACGAAACGCAGCTGGCCCCCGTCAGCCTTAGCCGTCGTCTCGGGCTGGACTCCAGCTAGGACAAGGCTGTTGCTACTCGAAGGCGAACAGAGGAGTCACCGTTGAGCCAGAAACATGTCACCCCCTCTAAGAACCACTGGTCTTGCTGATAATGGGGGTTGATCGTTTTGTTCATACAAATCAACGTACACCACCTACGAATTCCCAGCATTTCAATAAATGTGGCACTCGAAGAGTCTGAGGGTTGTTGGAGGAGTTACTGGCTTGACAGTGGGTTGTTTTCTTTGTCAGATTTTAATGAGCTTTTGTGATAAATTTTACAGTGTAACTTTGTGGGGTTTTTTTCCATGCTTTGATTCGGTTTGACAATAAACTGTGTTATTTTTTTTCATCCTCTTCATGTCTGATAATGCATATAGTTGAGGTCTGCCCCCAGAAATCCCCCTCTCCCCTCCGTATGCCATTCTCCTTGGGGGAAATACCAGGGGGAAAAGCAAAGACTTAAAGAATCGGGCCAGAAAATTCTCCTCTTTCCATTCCTGTCCCAACTCTTTGGACTTGTTGGGCTTTAATAAAGATTAAAGCCTTGACTGCTAAGTTAATGGCTTCTTCCTCTAGCAGACTATTTGGCAGGTAGGTTCAGTTCCCGTTCTTTTTTTAACCTGCTGAGATTTGAATTAAACAATCTTGCTGCTTCCAAAGCCACCGAAGCCTGTACAAAGCTCGAGATGAGAAAGAAGCAAGATCCTGGATTCCTGGGGGGGAATAAGGTGCTGGGAGAAGAGAGGTGACGCGGACTACCGGGGTTTCCCCATACAACCCGGTTTGAGTTCCTGCGTGCAGCATCCCTCCTATTGCGTTCAAGGGCACCCCGTAAAGCAGAAGGTTGATTCCTCACCTGGCTGCCCCCGGTTTGCACAGGTAAGGGGTGGCCTGAGTGCAGATCAGGAGGGCACGTCACTGCCTTTTCTTCCAGGTTACAGTGGCAACTGTCTTCTCTAGCACTTGGAAATGCCTGTTGTGAGTACACCCATCAGTGGTGATTTTGAGCAGGTGACCTCATACGGGTCTTGAGTTAACCAGTGATGACCAGTCTACAGTCAAACAACATTTATACTCTAAGCCAACTGGAGGGAACCGGGGGGATCTGCCTTTTACTTGTGTTCAATTGGTTCAAGGTGACAATGCAACGCTGCTTTTTTATCTGGCACATGTCTCCGAGTTAGGTCTTCGGACAGTAGCATGTAAGTACCATGCTGAAAAAGTTTGGTGTAAATTAAGCACGTGCTAGCAGATTAACCCACCGAAAGGGTTGTCAAGCACTGGAACAGGCTGCCCAGGGAAGTGGTTGAGTCATTGTCCCCTGAGGTATTTAAAAGACGTGTAGATGTGGTGCTCAGGGACATGGTTTAGTGGTGGACTTGGCAGTGTTAGGTTAACGGTTGGACTTGATGATCTTAAAGGTCTTTTCCAACCTAAACAATTCTATGATTCTTTGAAATACGAAAGTCTGCCTTATTTTCATGTGTGTTTTTAATAGGAAAATAATTTTATAAACGTTCTTAGAATTTTTTTTCTAATCTCTACCTAAGGACCTGGTTACTACGTGCCATACCGTGAGAGGTTGAGAACCGTAGATACATATAAAATTTATGCATGTTTTTAAGCACCTGAAATTTTCAGGCATAATGTCTGGTGTCGGGCCTTTTTGTTCCTTTGTGAGCAAATGCATTTATGAGAAGAAAAGAGGAGGATTTTTCTCAAGACCTGAGCCCATTTCTAGCTTAGTGGGGCCACATGCTGTGTAAGAGTAGGGCTAAGACTGAGCACGTACGGGTCCTGCCCTTGGCTCTGCATCGTGGGCGTATGTAGCTCTGTGACCCTTAACCTTCCTTTTAATATTTTCTCTAAATAGTGAGTGGAGCCTTGATCTCATCCGAATCCTCTGTAACACACCTTAGTAATTCAGTTACGGCAGGTTCAGATGAATAATAGTTCACCGGCCTGATGTCTAATCTGCTGAATAGATCTCAAAAAAGTAACTGGAGGGATGCGAACAAATACTTGGGATGATGATGGTTGCGGTTGGAAAATGGTTGGACTACTGCATCTGGGGAGGAGGATGAGCAGGCAGATGGGACGGGAGCTGGGGGAGGTCCGGGGTGACTTTGCGGTGCTGGACTGCGGTGGGCCAAGCTGTGGCATGGCCTGGCGGTGGGAACGCTTGGCTTTTATACATCCACGATCAAAGTCTTACAAAAACGAAGAGGGTTGGCCGTGCAGGGCTCGGCCGCACCACGAGATGGTGCAGCTGTGCAGTGTTGGCTTTTAAAGGCACCGCAAAGCAAATTTAAAAGACATTATCTCAAGTAAAAGCATCACCACGACTTTGGTATCTGAATCTTCCGCCAGGGTTGCACTCCACAGGTCCACAGATAATGTCTTCCTTCAGTTAAAAATCTCTTAGTATTTCAGAGGCAATTTCTTCATTTGCCCAACGAATACTGAGTTTCCTTTGGAAAAGGAACGGGTGTCTCCACAACTGAATACAGGGCAGGTAAGTATTCATGATAATTTTAGTTACTGATTATTTTTTTTCTTCCATGAAAATGCAGAATCATATGATCAGCGCGTGAAAAATGGAGACATCAATATTTCTCAAATAGCTGAGGAGTTACACCTTCCCTAGTGTGGTAAACCTTTTTTCCTCCAAAAGCTTTGCTGCTAACCTCTTTTTTTTTTTCTTTTTTCTCTTTTTTCCTTTTTCCTTTTTTTTTCCTTTTTTTTCCTTTTTTTTCCTTTTTTCCTTTTTTCCTTTTTTTTTTTTCTTTTTTCTCTTTTTTCCTTTTTCCTTTTTTTTTCCTTTTTTTTCCTTTTTTT